ACTTTGTCAAACAACTGCCTGATAACTAAATGAAGATCTACATGATGTGATTTTTACAATCCTGTGAAGACCCCATCCTTCTTTGACATTCCTACTTGCTGCTGCCTAAATTTTTACTATTAGAAATTAATTCCTCTGATATGAGGTTATATGCCTTGTGAAACACAAATATCCTGAGAGAGATAGCACGTAAACCTTATCAACCGTTTTCACTTTAATGGATCTGTCATATCTGTTCTTGACAGGGAGCATATTTTAATAGACAGGATGATGAACATATATATGAAGTTATATATTAGCCCCTTGTGGAGAAAATGTACTAGTTGGGATGTACAGGAGTGTAGAGAAAAGAGTAAGAGCAGAGAAAGAAGGAGGTTCCTAAATTGTCATACTCCTTGACCCAATAATTCTATTTCCAAGTGGCCAACCTAAAGAAATAACAATAAACATGAAACAAAGATAGTCACTGCAGTATTATTACAACAAAATAAAATGAAAGCAATCTAGATGTCCAATGATAAGAGTATGGATAAATACATATGATATACCTTTAGGATGCAGTGATCCCGCCATTAAAATTATGCATCTGAAGAATTTTTAATACCATCAGATAACAGTCCAAGCAAAATTGTACATGTTTGTATTTTATATATAGAAACATATACCATGCATATGTAGTATAATCTCAAATATCTAAAAGATGGTCATGCATTTATAGTATAATCTGAAATATCTAAGAGATAAATGTATATAGAAAAAACTGACTACATATGTTTATGTGTATGTGTTTGTATTAATAGCAGTGGGATTGGGGGTTTTATTTTCTTTGATAATTTTCTGTATTTTCCAGATTGAAAATACATGTGAATTGTTAGAGAAAATATTATTTTTGATATTTATATATTGACATTGTGTAAAAGGGGAGATTCCTCCAGATATGATAGTTTTTCCTGTGGCTGCTAGGCAGGCATTGATAGCTATGTACTTCACGGATGTGACTGGACCTTTTGAGAACAGCTACCATTCCTTCATAAAAGCAGTGTCTAATTCATTAGTAAAACAACTGCATTGGTTTCTGAAAAAAATTTGGGTATTTGACTAAACTTGAATCTGTGGGACAGTTTTTCAGAATTGAATCTTGTAAGATATTCCTCATGCCTCTAAGACATGTTCTTATAATGGAGGGGTTGTGGCTATGAGAGAAAGAGACTTGAAGAACATTTAAGTTCATCAACGAAGAAGCCATTGTTATATTCATTGCATTTAAAAATCGGCTTCCCAGCACTTGGCTGAGATGACTGAAGGCTGATGATACTGTAATTTGGCATCTAGTGAGATGCAGTTACTCTTTTAGGCCACTTAGCTCCAGTAAAGTTCAATTTAAATTGTGAAACAATGAAGAAATATAAAAGTTCCAATCAAAAGCATAATTCTCAGTCACGCTGGCCATAATATGCTCCTGAAAGATGTTTTCTTTGACTGAATCTCTGCTAAAGCGTACACATGGGGCAGAATACCAGGAAATCTCAATAGAAAGACTTGGCATTCACTTTTATATTTTTTCCTTTCTCATGGGGATGATGTATTTCTGTTGGGGTCATTTATGTTTAATTAAATGATAATTTCTGGATTTACTAGAAATGGCTGGCTGCTAAATTAAATTATAACTCAGTAAAACAATCTTTCCAACTGCTTTCCTTCTTTGTTATTTAATATAAAAAATGTAGCACCTGATCTTTGGTATGATTTACTCTTTTTAAACATAGAGAGTTTCATTTAATGTTAAAAGACAAAGTTGGCATCTTATTTTATTCTGTAGCTTATAATCCATGAATATCATTTATTTTAATCCTCAAATTATTCTAGATTTGATCAGTAGAAAAATGTGTCTCTGTGTGTGTGTGTATGTGTGTGTATATATATATATATATATATATACATACATACACACACGTCTGTATTTATATATTTGTAGATATAGATACAGATATAGATGATATAGATACAGATATGGATCAGTGGGTCTTGACCAGGGGAGATTTTGCCCACCATGGGACATTTGGCAGTGTCTCATATTTCTGGTTTTCACAACTCAGGATCAGCAGGAGGGGCAATCAGGGTTCTACTGGCATCTTGTGGGTTGAGGCCACAGATGCTGCTAAACATCCTAAAGTGTATCTGCAGTGTATTAGGCTTATCTAATGCAGATATCTAGAATTATCTGGCCCAGCATATCAATAGTGTCGAGGTTGAGAAACCCTAATTTTTGGGGAATAGATGGGCATTTAGCATTTTGGATGTGCCAGGGCTGTGCTAGGTGCTGAGCATATAAAAGCATATCAGTAGCCTCACTGTATTTAGTGTCCTAGTTTATCTTTTTCTGTGTAACAAAGTATCCCTAAACTTTGTGGATTAAAATGATTTATTGTTTCTCATGATTCCATGGGTTTGGCCGAGATCACTAGACACTTTTTCTGCTCCGTGTAATATTGTTGAGTTAGGTATGTCATTATATTTAGCTGGGAGCTTGGATTGAAGGTCCAAGATGGCCTTACTTAACATGTCTTGCAGTTGGTGCTGGCTGTTGGCTGGGGCCTGTCTTCCTCCCAGGGCCTCTCATGCCCCAAGGCCTCTCACTCTGTGGTCTCTCCAATAGGAAAGGCTAAGCTTCTTTACATGGTTGTTGGCTTCCAAGAACGTGAAAATGGAAGCTACATGCCTTTGTAAGGCCTTGTTAAAGAAGTCACACGACATTATTTCTGTCACATTCCATGGGCCAAAGCAAAGTAGCAGGCCAGCTCAGTTTCAGGGGACAGAGAACAAGGCTCTGCCTCTTGATGTGAGGAATGACATAGGAACACAGGGATGGGAGTGATTCCTGTAGCCATTCTTGAAAACAATCTACCACGCTCACTGTCCATTAGCTTTGTGGCGAGAAGAACAAGGTTTTAGAGCCTTAAGTATCCTTTTCTATCATGTGATTCAGCCCCTGCTAGGTTCTAAATGCTTGTGTCCCTTCAAATTCATATGTTGAAACCTGATCACCAATATGATTGTATTAAGAGGTGGAGCCTTTGGGGAGGTTATTAGCTTGTGAGGGCTCTGCCTTCATGAATAGGATTAGCACCCTTATGTAACAGACCCTAGGGAAGCTCCTTCTACCATGTGAAGAAACAGTGAGAAGGTGCCATCTAAACCAGGAAGTGGGTCCTCACCAGACACTGAATCTGCTGGTGCCTCGATCCTGGACTTTCCAGCTGCCAGAACGATGAGAAATGAAATTCTGTTTATAAGTTACTCAATCTGTGTTATTTTGTTACAGCAGCCCAAAGGGACTAGTATAACCCCCTTAACTTCACAGATACAAAGCTAAGACCTAGGAGGTCATGCCACAGTCCTAGGCTGTCAAATCACTTCCCTAGCCTAGCACACTTATGGAGGAGCCAGGCTCAGCCTTCCTATCCCTGGGCTGGACGCCAGAGGCCTTCAGTTAATTTGGTCTCAATGACCAGCATTAACCAGCATTGACCAGTCATATCTTCCCCATCCTTGCCTCATATATACATTCTAAGCATGAAATGATGCTGGATTTTACTACAGTGAAAAATGGCTTCATAAACCCCACCAGCTGCTATAAAATGAAATCAAACTCATTTATGTAACATGTCACGGTAGCCTGTTATGCTACAGTACATTTTTCTAAAATCCACAGACAATTACTGCAATATGAAATGTATTTGTTTTGAAATGGAGTAGGTACGCCATAAATTATTTTTTAAACATTTTTTTGAGACAGAGTTTTGCTCTTGTCACCCAGGCTGGAGTGCATTGGCGGGGTCTCGGCTCACTACAATCTCTGCCTCCTGGGTTCAAGCGATTCTTCTGCCTCAGTCTCCCATGTAGCTGGGATTACAGGTGCCTGCCACCATACCCAGCTAAATTTTGTATTTTTAGTAGAGACGGGGTTTCACCATGTTGGCCAGGCTGGTTTTGAACTCCTGACCTCAAGTAATCCACCTGCCTCGGCCTCCCAAAGTGCTGGGATTGCAGGTGTGAGCCGTTGCACCTGGCCATAAATTTTTAATTTTCCTTAGTATAACCACAAACCTGAAAATAATTAACACTTTTCCCAGATCATTAGGATACTCTTTTGGATTATTTCAAGCCTGCTGGGTGGAGGATAGATTTATTTTGTATTGAAGACAATATTTTAAATGAAATACAGTTCTGAGATTTCCCCAACACTTCTGGGGGATATCTGACTCTTACTGAGGATTAAGGTAAATGACGAGTGATATTCTTAGATTTAGTACTCCTTGAAGACCATAAATTTCCAAAGTAGAGCTAGCTGTTCTCCAAGAGAAAAAAAAAATGCATTAGATTTCTGCTGTATTGACTAAATTGTAAATGGAATAAAAATTTCTTATTCTAATAGCATTTACTATATTTGTAGTTTAATAAGTAACATTTATTCTAGATAATTTGGAAAAGACATAAGCATACAAAGGAGAAAATAAAGATCACTTGTAATTTTGCCTTTTAGTGAAAACTACTCCTAACATTTTTTGTGTTTGTTTTTGCCACGAGAGATACATCAATAAATCTAGAGACAGGTGTGGAGAAAGTGATGTAGATATACATAAAGGTATTTCTTTTTTAAAAAATTGGATTATACTGAAATAATTTTGCAACTAGATTTTTTTGGGGAAGCCTAAATATAGTAAGAACATTTTCCCATGTTATTAAGTATCCTTCTACCATGCAGGGAAAGTTAAGTCTTTTTCCCTTATTTTGACAGGACAGTGACATTGAAGCATTGACCAGGTGTTTGGAAAATGTCCTGGGTTGTCCTTCTCTAGGTGAGTAAGTTCCTTCAGACTTAAAATATATTGACAGCTACTGATTCTGTTGGAATATCCAAGAAATTAAAAACTTGGAAGAAATCTTACAGGCATTTAAGTATGATATCCTAGTATAACAGATGAAGAAACTGAGGCCAATAAAAGTTGAATGTCTGACCCGAAGGCCAGGAAACTCAAAGAAAAATTGCTTATTAATATTGTAAGTAATTCTTAGTCTCCAAGGATGAAATAATTGAAATTCAGCGTCCCTTATAATCAAATGGTAGCCTAGTAGTGCGTAATAGGTTTTGCAGTTTCTGGAAAAAGGAATCTCCCTACCTAACTTGTCCTGTAGAAGGAGAGTACATTCAGTCAAGCTGAGAGGACCATCACTCTGAAGGTCAGTCAGTTATTTGAAGAGATTTGGTCTGAAAAACAAAACCAAAACTTTTTTAGCATTGTCAGTCTCAATAAGTAGGATTGCTGTGCGTCAGGAATAAAGCCCTATTTCTTAGTTTCTTCTTCTTTTTTTTTTTTTTAAATCTGAAAAGCCTGACTGTGATACATTCTCACTAGATGACTAGAGAACTGTCATACAGAGTAATCTTACTAGATGAAAAGGGCTGAGACATTTTTTTCCTCTAAATTTGATTACAGGTTTTTATTTTAAAATTTTTAACTGTAAACCAAAAGCAGTTTCTTCAAAGGGAATGGCAGGAGTAAAGATAATTAAGTTTTCAGGTGGGCAAACATTCATTATTTTATTAGGAGATTTATGCACAAATTATAGCGTTTTTCTGGCTTATTCCACATCTCCATGTGGGAAGCCTCAGTCATAACATGGCTCTTTGATTTTCTCACCTGACGATCACCCTGTGATCTGTTTAATTGTATATAAAATACACTTATTTGATACATTTAACATTTAACAAGCACATTTAACATCCAACAAGTACATTTAACATCCAAGCATGACTTAAGACCAGGAAGGCTTTTTCATCTCTGGACCTCAGATTAGATGACAAATTTTCAATCTAGGCTCCTTGGAGACCTCCAGGATGAGGGGTTGGGAGTACTAAGCAGCATAAGAACAGAAGCTGTGTCTATACGGCTTATCTCTGTTTTTCTAGAATTTAACACTATGTCTGGTGCAGAAGAGGCCCTTAAAAATATTTTAAAATATTTATTGTCGAAGGTGGTGGCTCACACCTGTAATCCCAACATTTTGGGAAGCTGAGGTCAGAGGATCACTTGAGGCCAGGAGTTTGAGGCCAGTCTGGGCAGCATAGCAAGACCCTGTCTCTAAACAAATTTTTAAAAATTCCGCCAGGCATGATAGCATGTGCCTAGAATCCTAACTCTGTGGGATGCTGAGACCAGAGGATTGCTTGAGCCCAAGAGTTTCAGGTAGCAGTGAGGTGTGATTATACCACTGTACTTCAGCCTGGGTGCCAGACTGAGACCCTATCTCAAAAATGTGTATTATTGTTACTGTTTCTATAAAGTAAAGGGGTATAATGCAGTTTTCTTATGCGGGTATATTGCATAGTGGTAAAGTCTGAGCTTTTAGTGTAATCATCACCTGAAGAGTGTACATTATACCCATTAAGTAATTTTTTATCCCTCATCTCTCTCCCAGCTTCCCACTTTCCTGAGTCTCTAATGTCTATTAATCGACACTCTATATACATATGTACACATTACTTAGCTCCGGCTTATAAGTGAGAACACTGATATTTGACTTTCTGTTTCTGGATTGTTTCACTTATGATAATGGCCTCCATTTCTTTCCATGTTGCTGCAAAAGACATGATTTTATTCTTTTTTTTTGTGGCTGAATAGTATTCCATATTGTGTGTGTGTGTGTGTGTGTGTGTGTGTGTGTGTGTGTGTGTGTGTGTGTGTTGTTATCCAGTCATCTGTTGATGGACACTTAGGTTGGTTCCATATCTTTGCTGTTGTGAATAGTGCTGCAATAAACATAAAAGTGCAGGTATCTTTTTGATATAATGATTTTTTCCTTTGGGTGTATACCCAGCAGTGGGATTGCCGAATTGAATGATATTTCTTTGAGAAATCTCCATACTGTTTTTTATACAGGGTATACAAATTTATATTCCTACCAACAAGGTATAAACTTTCTTTTTTCTCTACATCCTCATCAACATCCGTTATTTTTTGTCTTTTTAGTAATAGCCATTCTGACTGGTGTAAGATGATATCTTCTTGTGGTTTTAATTTGCATTTCTGTGATTAGTGATGTTGAACATTTTTAAATTTTTTTGGGACATTTATATGTCTTCTTTTAAAAAATGTCTGTTCTTGCATTTCCTTTGCCTACTATTTATTTGAGTTACTTGTGTGTGTGTGTGTGTGTGTGTGTGTGTGTGTGTGTGTGTGTGTGTAATGGCTGTGTTAGTTCCTTATAAATTCTGGATATTAGTCCTTGCCAGATTCATAGTTTGCAAATATTTTCTCCTATTCTGCAGATCGTCTGCTTATGCTCTTGATTTGTTTCTTTTGCTGTGCACAAACATTTTAGTTTAATTACATCTCATTTGTCTATTTTTGGTTTTGTTGCTTGCACTCTTGTAGTCTTAGTCGTGAATTCTTTGCATAGACCAATGTCCAGAAGAGTTTTCCCTAGGTTTTCTTTAAAAAAAATTTTTTTTATTCTAATAGGTTTTTGGGGACCAGGTGGTGTTTGGCCACATGAATAAGTTCTTTAGTAGCGATTTCTGAGATTTTGATGCGCCCATCACCCCAGCAGTGAATACTTTATCCAATGTGTAGTCTTTTATCCCTCACCACACCCCCGCCCTTTCCCCCAAGTCCCTAAAGTTCAGATGTATCACTCTTACGCCTTCATGTCCTCATAGCTTAGCTCCTACATGAGTGAGAACATAGGCTGTTTGTTTTTCCATTCCTGAGCTACTTCACTTACTAAAGTCTCCGATGCCATCCAGGTTGCTGCAAATGCCATTATTTCATTCCTTTTCATGGCTGAATAGTATTCCATGGGGTGTGCACCACATGTGTATGTGTATCACATTTTCTTTATCCACTTGTTGATTAATGGACATTTGGGCTAGTTCCATATTTTTGCATTTGCAAATTTTGCTACTGTAAACATGCACATGCAAGTATCTTTTTCATATAATTACTTCCCTCTAGGTAGATACCTAGTAATGGGATTGCTGAATCAAATAGAAGATCTACTTTTAGTTTTTTTAAGGAATCTTCATACTGTTTTCCGTAGTGGTTGTACTAGTTTACATTCCCATCAACAGCATAAAAGTGTTCCCTTTTTACTGCATCCATGCCAACATCTTTATTTCCTGACTTTTAAAATTCTGGCCGGTTTTGCAGGAGTGAGGTGGTATCACATTATGGTTTTCATTTGCGTCTCCCTGATACTTAGTGATGTTGAGCAATTTTCCATATGCTTGTTGGCAATTTGTATATCTTCATTTGAGAATTGTCTACTTATGTCCTTAGCTCACTTTTTGATAGGATTTTTATTTGTTTGTTTCTTGCTGATTTGAGTTCCTTGTAGATTGTGGATATTAGTCCTTTGTTGGATGTATAGATTATAGAGGCTTTCTTCCATTCTGTGGGTTGTTAACTCTGCTGATTATTTCTTTTGGTATGCAGAAGCTTTTTAGTTTAATTAAGTCCCACATATTTATCTTTGTTTTTGATGCATTTGCTTTCAGGTTCTTCATAATGAAGTCTTTGACTAAGCCAATGTCTGCAAGGGTTTTCCTGATGTTATCTTCTAGAATCTTTGTGGTTTGGGGTATTAGATTTAAGTCTTTGATTCATCTTGAGTTGACTTTTGTATAAGGTGAGAGATGAGGATCCAGTTTCATTCTGCATGTGGCTTGCTAATGATCCTAGCACCATTTGTTGAATAGGGTGTCCTGTCCTTTTCCTAGTTTATGTTTTTGTTTGCTTTGTTGATCAGTTAGCTATAAGTATTTGGCTTTATTTCTGGGTCCTCTATTCTGTTCTATTGGTCTATGTGCCTGTTTTTATACCAGTACCATGCTGTTTTGGTGACTATGGCCTTATAGTATAGTTTGAAGTCAGGTAATGTGATGCCTTCAGATTTATTCTTTTTGCTTAGTCTTGCTTTGGCTATGTGGGCTCTTTTTTTTGTTCCATATGAAGTTTACGATTTTTTTTAGTTCTGTGAAGAATGATGGCGGTATTTGATGGGAATTGCATTGGATTTGTAGATTGCTTTTGGCAGTATGGCAATTTTCACAATATTGATTCTGCCCATCCACGAGCATGGGAGTGTTTCCATTTGTTTGTGTCATCTATGATTTCTTTCATCCGTGTTTTGTAGTTTTCATGGTAGAGATTTTTCACATACTTGGTTACTTGTATTCCTTGGGTTGCTTTTTTTTTTGTAGCTTTTGTAAATGGAATTGCCTTCTTGATTTGGTTCTGAATGTGATTGTAATTGGTGTACAGAAATGCCATAGACTTTGGTATGTTGATTTTGTATCCTGAAATTTTACTTAATTTGTTCATCTAATCTAACAGTTTTTTGGATAAGTCTAGCATTTTCTAGGTATAAGATCATATGGTCAGCAAACAGATCATTTGAATTTCTTTTTTCCAATATGGGTGCTATTTATTTTTTTTCTCTTGCCTGGTTGCTCTGGGTAGGACTTCCAGTACTATGTTGAATAGAAGTGATGAAAGTGGGCATTATTGACTTGTACCAGGTTTAGGGGAATTGCTTTCAACTTTTCCCCATTTAGTATGATGTTGGCTGTAGATTTGTCATATGTGGCCTTTATTATTTTGAGGTAGGTTCCTTCTATGCCTCATTTGTAGAGGGTTTTTATCATGATAGAATGCTGACTTTTTTCAAATGCTTTTTCTGCATCTATATAGATGATCTAGTTCTTAAAAATTTTGGGTACATAGTAGGTGTTTACATTTATGGAACACATGAGATATTTTTAAATAGGCATACAATACATAATAAGCATATCATGGAAGCTGAGGTTTGGGTTTGGAAAAATGCTTGGGGCACTTCCTGGAGCCTTTCCTTCTTACATCCCACCAGCCCTTCTCCAAGTTAGCACCAGAGCTAGGAAGGGACAAGTTGCTCTTCCATGGCCTGGAATGCATGGTCCCCCGGTAGAAAGCTGGATCACAGAGGAACACTCTCTCTCCATCTCTCATATTAGGGCTTTACTCACAGTTCTCAGTCAGTTGTTTTCATGCAGGCTGTCTACCCACCTTCTCTTCACTGAGATCTTTCCTTTTCCAGTGAATTCCTCTGTTCTTTCTTGAATAAAAGATTATAGTGTGAATATCTGTGCACTGTTTTGCTTTTGCTATGTGAAATATTTTTAAATATTTTTAAGAGAAATTAGATGCAGACCCTGTTCTTTTACCAGTTTCA